TTCCTGCTGGCCTCCTTCCTATTTCTTGTCTCCCAAACACACCCCTGCCTCGGGCCTTTGCACCTACTTCCTGTCTGGAAGATTCTCATGAGCCTTGGTTCACATAAATCCCTCCTCAGAGCAGAGGTCCCTGACCAGCACCTCCATCCCCTCCTTCTTCCTGCCCTGCTTCACTGTCCGGCTTAGCTCCGCCCCTCAACATGATGTTCAAAATCTACTTGTTTATTTTCTGTCTCTCCTACAGAAGGTGAGAATATTCGAAGTGGGACTCATGCTGCGTCCCAAGGACTTGAACAGGACATGGCATGGCTGAAGGGATTAATGACACCCGTAAAGGAGACTGGCAGAGAGATGGAGGGGGAAATGATGAATGGAAGGATGACTGGAAGGACAGACAAATTAGTGGTTGGAAGGATGAATGGATGCAAGGGAGGTAAAACAAATAGATCAAGGAGCAAATGAATTGAAAGAAGAGTGGAGGAATGGTAGAGTAAATAGAAAGATAGATGGGTGAAAGGAAGGACTGAAGAACCAATGGAAAGAAGAAAATACAGAAAGGTGGGAGGAAGGATAGGTTGATGGATGGACAGACAGGTGGAAGAGAGAAAGAGCAGATGAATCAAGGGGCAGACTGAAGGAAGAATTGGTGAATGAATGGATGGAAGTATGGATAAAATGATGGACAGGTGAAAGGAAGGGTGGATGAATCCATGAAAAGAAGGAATATCAAAATATGGACAGAAAGAAGAAAGGATAGATGGATAGTAATAAAGGATGAATAAGATGGACACATGGATGAGAGGATGAATGGGTAGATGGACAGATGGATGGGTAGATGGATGGGTGGGTGGATGGGTGGGTGGATAGATGGGTGGGTGGAGGGATGGGTGGAGGGATGGGTGGGTGGAGGGATGGGTGGATGGATGGGTGTGTGGATGGATGGGTGGGTGAATGGATGGGTGGGTGAATGGATGTGTACATGGATAGATGGGTGGATGGATGGTACGTGGATGGGTAGATGGATTGGTTGATGGGTGGATTGATGGATGGATAGACGGATGGTTGGGTGGATGGATGGATAGATGGATGGGTGGGTGGGTGTCTGGTTGGATGGGTGGGTGGGTAGATGGATGGGTTGATGGATGGATTAATGTGTGGACAGATGGATGGGTGGATGAATGGGTAGATGGGTAGATGGGTAGATTGATGGATGGATGGATGGATGGATGGATGGATGGATGGATGGTTAGGTAGATGGACAGATGGTTGGGTGGATGGATGGGAAGATGGATGGGTAGGTGGGTATCTGGTTGGATTGGTGGATAGGTAGATGGATGGGTTGATGGATGGATTGATGGATGGATGGACGGATGGTTGGGTGGATGGATGGGTAGATGGATGGGTTGATGGATGGATTGATGTGTGGATGGACAGATGGATGGGTGGATGAATGGGTAGATGGGTGGATGGGTAGATGGATGAGTAGGTGGATGGGTGGATGGGTAGATGGATGGATAAGTGGATAGGTAGATGAATGGGTGGATAGTGGATGGATGGGTGGATGGGTGGTAGGGTGGACAGGTGGATGAGCAGATGGCAGGACAGAAGGACTGACAGATACTCAGATGAAGACACACACTGGCAGACAAACACAAGATCAGGGCGGTAGGTACGTGCACTTCTTCCTGAAAGGGTTAGCTCCTCAGGCCTGTGCACAGTTGACAGCCCTTTTTGAGGGTCCCAGAATTCTCAGGCCCCAGCCTTACTGAGCCCACCCCTCCCACAGGCCCCACTCCAGACCTGGCCCCCTCAGGAAGTGACACAGAAGAACATGGCAGGTGGGGGACCGACCCCAGGCTTTATTGAGCAGATCCGGGGAAGGGTGGACAGGCAGGCCCTCGCCACAGCCCGGGAGCCTCCTCTTCTTGCCGTTGCTGCCCCCCGCAGGGCGGGCCTGGGCCATTGGGGTCTGGCTGCCCCTCAACTGCTGAGGAAGCAGCCCCGCTTGTGCCACTTCTGGTCTCGGATCCTGCGCACGGACTGCAGCTGCGGCTGGTTGGCGTCCCACTCGTTCCAGTGGCGGTACTCGCCCCTCTCGAACACGTACTGGCGTCCGCGGTAGCCGGGGAACTCATAGCCAACCCACCTGCCGGGGACACCGAGGTTGGGGTGAGGACGGTCTGCTCCCCGTCTCCCCACCTCCAGCCAGAGCAAGCCTTAGGAAGCCAGCATCTGACAAAGTTTGCTGCCTGCCCGGATCCTTCCATGGCCCCCCAGTGCTCGCGGGATGAATCCAACTCCCTACGTTGCTCACAGGGCCCTTCATGGAACATCCCTAGCCTCATCTTCAGCATCCCCACCTCACATTCTACGCTCCAGCCTGTCCTTGAACCTGCAGGGTCTCTGAGCCTTGCCCATGCTGTTCCTTCTGCCTGCGACACTCTTCCTGGTCTCATCTGTACCTCTCCTTCATTTGCATCGTTTACATCTCACTTTAGATGTCTCCTCCTCCAGAGAGCCCTTCCTGACTCCACCACACTGAACGGAATACCTTCCAGCACCCTCTGCACGAGCCCATCACAATCCCAATCACAATGAAGCATGGCTACCCCATCCTTATCTGCCTCCCTGTCGGTCTAAGTAATTCTCAAGAGCAGGGGCTGTGCAGTTCTCAATTTTCCTGGTAGCCCTGCTCCAAGCCCATGGTAAGTATAACCACTGGCAAAAGGAAGGTGACCCTAAGATCACATTAACAGTGGCCTTAAGCCCAGAAGGAAGGAGGTGATAAGGCGGCTCTCTTCTGAACCATTCAGGTTACACCTGGACAGCTGCATGCACCTTGGGCCTCTTGGTAAGAAAGTTGGCTGCTTGAAAATCATAAATAAATGAGAAGGGGGAAAAAAAAGAAACAAGAATTCAAAGGGGTAAGACATCCTGAAAATCCATTCGAGGGATGTTCAGAAAAGGAGTTAGGACTCAGATGGCAAGGAGAACCAATTTTGCTTGGTTTAAAAAGAAGAAGAAGAAGAAGAAGAAGAAGAAGAAGAAGAAGAAGAAGAAGAAGAAGAAGAAGAAGAAGAAGAAGAAGGAGAAGGAGAAGGAGAAGGAGAAGGAGAAGGAGAAGGAGAAGGAGAAGAAGAAGAAGAAGAAGAAGAAGAAGAAAAGATGAAAGAGTCCGTGAGCCAAGGCTGCCTAGACTCAGTTGCTGTGGTCATCAGGTATGCCCACACGGGGTTCCCGGAGTGGGGCCTGAGCGGGGCTGGCTCGGGAGCAGCCGCCTGGAGGGGACCCCAGCCTAGAGGACAGGGACATCAGTCACATTAGAAACCACCAGCAGACTTTCTGTGGGAGCCAGGGCGCAGCCGACTGGAGGCCAGGGCAGGGGCGAGGGCGAGGGCGAGGCTGGGTCCCTTACGTCCCGTTGATGGCACGGACGCTGGCTACCCGGTCCTGGAAGCCGTGAGCCCACAGGCTGGGCACGTCGTCATCCACGATCTCCATCTTGCGGCCGCTGAAAGCGGGGTTCTCAAACAGGTGCAGTTTGTGATCCGGGCCGTCCTGGGGGAGACCGTGGGATGAGCCGGCTGCTCCCATACCCAGAGCAGAGGTCCAGGAGGCTCCGGTGCGGGACAGACTGGACAAGTCACCACGAAAGAACGGCCACCCCGAACCTGCTGCAACCGAGTGTGGGGGAAGGCTTCGGAGCGTCCTCCAGAGCTGGTCTACGTGGGAATCTTGTTTTTTTAGGTTTGCTACAGGGAGCAGGCCCTTGCTGGGGAGAGTGGTGAGAAAGCACCCCCCAGGGGGATGGCCACATGGCAACCCCTTCTCCTCCATTCTCCGTTTCGAGATTTTGGGCGTGCATGCATACACACCCGGTGTGGCCGGGCCTGAGATTTGAACTGCGTAGCAGGCCATGTGGGGGTCCAGCCACCTTAACCACCATGCCACCTGCTGGCCCAGAGAGATATTTGTTTTCTTTTTCCTCCTTAGGTTTACTTATTTTTTCCATGAATGGGAGCGGCAGAGACGGAGCAGCCCCGGCAGAGCGGTTTGGGTCACCCGAAAGGTCATGATGCATTTGTGCATGGGAAAATGACATCGTGACTTTTCCGATGACCCAAGAGATGGCATAGTCCACTCCCAGCCCCGGCCGGCCCTGGGTGGTGAGCACATACGTGTAAGGCCGTCAAGGCGTCTCTAGACAAGACCCCAGAGCCTTCCTGTGGGACCACTTCTCTTATCACCACGCCACCACCTGGCCCCCTGCCGAGGAGTCTCAATGACAGAGTATAAAATGGAAAGGGGAGACAGCAGGTGGCATTAAGGCGCTGGACTCCCACATGGCCGACCACAGTTCAAGTCCCAGACCTGGTGGCTTGTTTTCTCACTTTCCCTTTCTCTCTCTCTCTGGTTAAATGAAAAGTAATAGTAATAATAATAATAAATTAAATAATTCTTTAAGAAAAATGGAAAGGCATCTCTTCAGATCTCAGTCAACCCATCATTTAACAGATAAAGAGATGGAGGGCCCCTGATGATGGGAAAAGAGAATACCAGGGTTAACATGAGAACACCCTCTCATTCCTGGGCAGGTCCCGATGCCCCTTCCCGGGGGGCCCTCCCTGCTCCCCTCCAGGGAGAGCTCAGTCACGTGACAGGGAGACATGGCCGAAGCGGCTCTTAAATGTGACTGAAGGGGTGGGAGAGAAGAGGGACATCTGAAAGTGTCACTGGGCTGAGTCCCTTTCAGGTGTTCGAGAAAGCCGAGTGAAGAGCTTGACTCATCTCAAAGTTGCTTTCTCAAGTTATTTCCAGACCGTATCTCTGAGCAAGGAATGATCCGAGACGGGCCCACGTGGCAGATTACAAGGGGACATTCCAGAGCCACGCTGGCCAATTCCAGACGTGAGCCCTGGGGCCCCAGCTGAGCAGCCAGCTCCTCGTCCCTCAAGGGCCTTTTCCAGACCACACCCATGCGGGCCAAGCCCTTGGCCAAGCTCATCAAACCAGCTTGCCCGGCCAGCTCCCAGCATGCCCTGCTCCCAGGGACCCCTGCAGCGGGCAGGCACCGTACTCACAATGTGCAGAGGCCGGAGGGACAGCAGGCTGTCACTGTGGTGGCTGTTGGACCAGGCGTCCCAGCGAGGGTAATCCCCCTTCTCCAGGACAAACTGCTCCCCGCGGAAGGCCCTGCGTTCGAATGCCAGCCACCTGCGGGAGGGCAAGGGCAGGCTCAGGCCTCTGCAGACGGGAGAGGACCCTCATCCGGCACCAGGGTGCAAGGCCCACGCTGCTGACCTTTGGCCTCATACCCCTCCCATCCTACCACAGACTCCTGGGCTTACTCCGTGTTGAAGGAGCTAAGAAGGGCTTGGTAGGTGCTGAGACTCGGGGCCTGGAGACCATGGAGGGGACATTGTTGGGAACCCCCTGTGTGTCCATCCTTAGCACAATGCCAGGCACAGGGCGAGCATTCCACGGGGACCCTCCCTTCCCCCTCGCTGCCTCCCCCTGCCCTCCCTCCTTCTCCCTATCATGTCCCTGTGACGTGGGTGCATCATTTCATCCGTCTTCACAAACATCTCTCTGAAATATAGACCACTGCGGTCTCCATGGGACAGATGAGAAAACAGAGGCCCAGAGGGTAAAGGGACATCTCCAAGATGGCCCAGTGGTTAGCGCCAGAGCCTGGACTTTCAAAGGCAGGAACTCGGAGTCTGGCTAGGACACAATTTGCCTAGAGGACAAGGATGGGACGCTTCACCCCTTGGGCCTGTTTCTTCATCTGCTAGTGGGACAAGAGTGATGCCTCTCACAGGGCGACACTGAGGGTTCAGTGCAGACGGCGGTTC